AGGTTGGGGACTGTAGGGATTTCCCAAATTAAGCGTATTCCTGTGTTATACAACCCTGCTTTTCAAGCAGACCATGCCTAGCTGCAGTTTCAGGGTCCATGCCGTACAGACTGGAATGTCCAAAAGTCCTTTGTCAAGGTAACATGTTTTCTATCACAGAATCTTAAACGTTAAGAGAGAAGGAAAATAACCCCAACAACCTATGGCTTGTTCATCCGCAGCCCTTGCTGAGCGGCTCCTCGTGCGCCTGTCCCTGCTGCCCGTCAGTCGGCTGGCGTTTGGGCTCCTGGCTGTACAGAACCTGGCGCTGCGGGAGCCCGACCCACCCCTGGCAGACCGGGAGGTGATTCTTGAATGAATCAGTCATAACAGTAGTTGTGTTTCACATATTCCACACGCAGGGGCTCCTGCTGCTGTCCCTGGGAGGCTGTCCTGCACATCACTAGCTTGTTGCCTAGTTTTCTTCTTTCTTTATTAGTTACTTGTTTGATTACAGCAGCGAGTGAAGTTCCTAAGCAGTCGGGCACGAGGCGAAGAGCAGAAGATGGTCATTACCCAAAATACATTAGAGTATAAAACCTGTTACCCTTTTGGAGTTATTCTTTCATAAACAAGATGAAATAATTCTTGTCTTTCTTGGTATTTTTATATAAAAACATACCATCCTCTCCTGCAGGAGTTACTGGCTAAACGATGTTTTCAGCTCTTGCTTCTCATTTTAGATCAATCCCTTCTGTTCCCTTACAATTTTTGCTCCTCCTCTGGACTCCCACAGTTTGTCAATATCTTTTATTGTAGCCAGTGAGACACATGGAGAAACACCCACATCCCTTTTCATCTTTCTCTTGAGGAGAACTGACTCACCAAGTTCACTTTGTGTGTGAAAAATATCTCTAGTAGGAAGGATATTTTAGGATTTATAGCCTGAAAAGCTTCCTGCCTGTTTTGTGGGGTTATTTTTTAATCATGGAAGTTAAGAGGGAAGTTCTCTCTCCTCGGCCAAGCCGGAGGATATGCTGTCACCGGGGAACATACGCTAAAGGGTAACGTCGTAGCGTTGCAGAGGCCTGACTGGCTGTAAGAAATATTGCGGTGCGCCTGATTGCAGAGGTGTTCACGTTTTTCAAGGCTTGAGCGCTGCTCTCTGGTTTAAGAGGATGCTTTTATGCCTGGTCACTGCTCCAGTGATTTGTGCCGGTGCGATTGTCTCCCTCCTCCCTTCGCAGGGGAGCACAGAGCATTTAGCGTCCGTAAATCACCGGAGGAGCCGTGCAGGCCGGGAAGGCAGAGTGCACGGGCTGGTGTGTCTGAGTGCTTTCACCAGGCCCCCCGAGGCCTCTGGGAAGCATCAGGCAGCTGTGCTAACCTTGAGGCTGCGCCTTACGCAAGGGAAGGGCCAGGACTGCTCAGCAGCGCAGCCACCTTCTCAGTCATGGGAAGATGGAAAATTTCTTCTTGCCGGTGATTTTCTTTCCCCTGTTCCGGGGGTGCACAGCTTCCCACGCTGCCTTGGCATCAGGTGGAGTCACAGGCCCGTGAAGTAACATCACCCTCGTGTTCTCATACTGCAGCAAGATGTGCACTTCAGCCAGTGATGATCTAGCATCTTCCTGTCTCCTGCCTCACCCCAGGCAGCTGGGATGGGAGAAGGTGATCCTCTCTATCCTCTCCCTGCCAGCGGCTCTCCTGCACTCAGCTGAAATCGAAGAGGAGGTTGGAAAATAGCGTCAGTCCTACAAAGGTAGCTGGATCCTTTGGCTGCCTTTTCTACCGCATCCAAGAGGAAGCTTATTGTATCACCCTCGTGTCAGGCTTAGGCAGTGTCCTGCTGCGTGACAGAAGCAGGCGGATAAAATGATTGTCTTCATTTCTTGTTTCCTTGGATTGTCGCGGGTCAGCGTTCTCCTCCTTCCTCTGGGGATACAGACGGAATCTGACTGTTAGATTTGACATGCATAGGCTGGGGATTCCCAGCTCATTCCCCAAGCCTGACTTGGGGAAACCCTTTGTTTCGTTTCAGCTGAGAGGTAAACCCAGGAAAACACAGGCATTCATTACCAGTTAATTAATGGTCTGTGGTTCTCTGCGTTCCAACATCGTTCCCCTACGGAGAAAACAAGCACCTTTGTTTCCTTTCTCATGATGCATCTGGACGTTGACTCGTTAGCGTTTCGGGGTCTGGCAGAGCCGCTGAGGGCTGCACAGCTCTCACGCTGTCGTCAGGTACGAAGACTTTGTATGTCCGGAGCTGGTGGACAAGCGTCTTTGAAAGCAGACGTTATAACCCCTACCAAATAGGCCTTTTTTGGCAGTTCCAACAGAGGAGCCAAGGATTTGGTATTCCAGAGCATCAGACTCCTCTTCCTGGGGTGAGTCCCTCCGTATAAGAGTTGAAGCGTATTTATAAGCAGTGCAGAGCAGCTCCCTGCCCACATTTTAAGCATTCTGCATAAAAACAGAGGATTTTAAGTTATGCCCTGATAGACGTGATGCGGCTTCACGTAGGGACGTGCCGGAGGGGAAGCAAGGTGGTTCGGCCCACCTGGGATGCCGCGCTCACGTGGCTGGACGGAGGGGGCTGATAAGCATCCACGCGCCCCGCGGTGTTGCGTCAGGCGAGCGCATCCGTCTCCAGAGCTCGGGCAGGGCTTCGGATCACGCTTATTAACTTGTGAACGAGGGTCTCACGTGGAGGTGTGAATGTTGGAAATAAGGGGTTTGTTCACGTGGAACATAACTCCCCCTCAGTAATCCCTCTCTCCATCGGAGCTTTACTGTCTTTATTGGGAGCTTTTGGTGCAGCAACTTAGGTGAGTCTGAACCCGCTCGGAAGGTGTGCGGCAATCCAGTGTCGTTCCAAGAAATCTTTGGAGATGTTCGGAACGGCTTTAAAATGAACATGTGGAACATGGAAATGTTGGCTACGTTTTCCTGTTTATACCACATCTTTTTCCTAATTTCAGGATGTGCAACCAACCGAGTTCATTTGGTTGTGTCCTTGTCTGTGCTTGTCCTGTATTTATTAAGTAAATTACATTAACTCCAGCCAGGAACTGTATTTTTTCATCTCGGCCCGGAGAGCAGCTGAGGTGCTTGGGAGCACCGAACCGAGCACGATGACATTCGATTTGCACGAGGAGACTTGATGTTGTTCAAAGTCAGTGGTTTCATGATGCTTCCAGGGCATTCAGCAGTTGTGAGTGGTGATAAGGTTGAAGTGCCACATATGTTTTGAACAGTCGCCTGGCTCTACCGCAGCTGCGTTTTAAACTGAGCCTCCCTGGATGCCTGGAGTTAAAAAATATAGCTTGGTAGCTTAGCTAGATGACAAGATGGGATCCTGCAGTTAGTCCTCCCTGGCTGCTGCCTTCTGCTGATCCAGGGTCCCATGGAAGTCAGCAGTGGGCAGAGAGAGTCACCCCTGCGGATATTTTTTAGAAGCAAGGCATGGGACAATTTACAGAATTGCTTTACAGCTGTCTGGGGGGACTTTTTACAAGGGCCTGTAGTGACAGGACAGGGGGTAACGGGTTTAAATTGGAAGTGGGGAGGATTAGATTGGATATCAGGAAGAAGTTCTTCCCGGAGAGGGTGGGGAGGCACTGGGACAGGTTGCCCAGGGAAGCTGTGGATGCCCCATCCCTGGAAGTGTCCAAGCCCAGGCTGGATGAGGCTTGGAGCAACCTGGTCTAGTGGAAGGTGTCCCTGCCCATGGCAGGGGGGGGGACTGGGGGGGCTTTAAGGTCCCTTCCAACCCCAACCAGTCTGTGATTCTATCCTTCCGTGAGGAGGAAAACATGAGCAAACCTTGTAGGACTGCCACAGCAGGAGGACTGAGGTGCCCTGGGAAATGAGGTTTCAGAGTAGATGTTCGACAGCTGGTTTTATCTGCCTGTGGAAAAGTAAAAGGATATGTTTTAATGATGATAAAAAATAACACTTTGTGATGTAGCATGTATTTATTTCATTATGCTTCCCTTTATGATGAAAGTACAGGGATGTGTGCTGGTTTTTCCCTGTTCATCCCCTGCTCTATACTGTCTGGCTAACCAATATTTTCTGTATCTCTTTCCATTGTATTAAATTTTTGAGGAAGGCTTCTTAAATGCCAGCCCTTAGATATACAGCTACAGTGCATTGATTCTTCCCTTACAGGAAAGAAAAATCATCATGTCTGGTCATCTTGGCTGGAAAATTAGGTTAAAGCAGGAATCTTGTCTGCTGTAAATTCAGTGCTCCATCAGAGTTAAGTAGAATACATGGAGAAGATACATTTATAACAAAGAAAAGATGCTGCTAGCCTCATTATGCTGCAATCAGTACCATAAGCTCCCTCCTGGTACCCGAGGGAGCATCCTTCAGGAGCCTGGAATAGCCCAGTCAGTAGAGCATCAGTCTCTCAGTTTGAATTCCTGGTCAGGGAGACACGCTCTGGTGTTCACTACTTGCAAGAACAACGCAAGGTATAATAATAAATTTCAGTTCATCGTTCCCAGGAGAAATGCTACGGTATCTAACAAATCAGCTGGCACTCTAGAAACAAGTGTTAATGCTAAATGACTTAAACATCTGGTGTTCCAGCTCTTACTTCTACGAAACTCCCAGGGAATACAAAAATAATTCCCTACGTGGAAAGTGTGAGGGTTTTTAGCCTTTAAGGAGTTTAATGTTACAGCTAAATGGCAAGAGAGAGCGTTTCAGGCGGAGGGAAGCTGTGTGAGCTCAAATATTTTATCTTGTACTCTCATTTAGAGTATGGAAATAGCGTGTTGCTAAGTACTTGAGATTTGGCACCTGTTTTTTTGGAAAGCAGTGATTCTTGCTGGATATTTGGATGTCTCAACTTGGACACACCCTTTTCCCTGAACAGACGTACCGTGTGTGAACTCTCCTCCTTTCCTACAGTTGGCAGTGGATGTCAGATGCTTTTCTCTAGGAAATGCATGACCTTTCGTACTGTTTCTTGCTTGATTGGTAATAATGTTCTCTTTAATCACTAACCCATCGAACAGGCAAGAAGACTGGGAGTACATCATCGGATTCTGTGACCAGATCAACAAGGAACTTGAAGGGTAGGTGTCCCAAAATGCTCTCCATTTAATAAATTAAGATTCACAGTTTAAACCGTGGAAGTTTGATGATGGTACGTTTTCTTAGATATACACTGATACCGCGAGGAAGATCTGCCTAGAAAAGAAACAAGATGCTGTCAAGTGTGGTTTCTCTTCCGTGAAAGGCAGCGTGGCTTCTGCACAGACCGAGCACTAGGAAAACGGGAATTCTGAACCTGTGCCTCTAGTGTCTGTGCAGCTGCAGGGTTCTCGCCTTGCTCATCTGTAAAATGGGGTTATAACTCAGTGCCTGACGGGGCTTCACATCTTTAAAATCTCTACAAGGCTTAACTGAGGAAACCTCCTGGGTCACAACGTTCATGTGAGCTAAGGAGAAGTATTTTCTTCTGGAAAAAGGAAACTAATGCAAGAGAAGTGAAGTGATTTCCTGGGCTGGGGACTGTACTGGGAGTTGTTTGGTCCCTCCCACGGAGGAATCTGGAATTGCTGGCTCAGACAACCAGCCCTCGCTTCCTTTCATATGTGCAAGCACCCAGGCTTCCAAGGATGCCCCGAGCATTTCTTGTTCATCTTTGTACACTGATAGAAAGATAAAAAGTACTAAATGGCATTTCCTTTTAATTATGCAAAAGACATCTCATTTAAACAGCAGAATTTGTGGAAGTCTGAAAGCCCTTCAGCGTGTTCACCTGCTTTGTGTGTAATGGGGATCTGCTTCGTTTCAGGCCACAGATAGCTGTGAGACTCCTGGCTCATAAAATCCAGTCGCCACAGGAATGGGAGGCAGTCCAGGCCTTGACAGTAGGTAGTCCTTGCCCCTTCTCTTAAATGCAGTTACGTATCATTTTACATCATCTGTGCAGAGCACGGGGGGGCACAGTGTGTGTCAGTGGGGTTAGCTGGGGCAGCTGTGGGGCTGGAGGCCCTGACTCCTCGCTGCTGGGTAGGAGCGGGCAGCGTGAGGGAGCACAGGTACCTAATAAAGCATCCAGATTGCTCATTAGCAATGGAGCAGCCAGAAATAACTTGGATTCTCGCTGCTTTCGTTTGTTACCGTCAGGCAAGATTTGCGTTCATTGTCACGAGACCTAGTGGTGGGGTGACTTAGCCCCCTGTGTACCTGGCTGAGGGTGGGAGACCAGCCTGCCTCGGTGTGTCACCCCTAAAGACTGCTGCCTGCCCTGCAGAGCAGGACTGCGTGTCTCCCTGACCTGGTCCTTCAGTTCCCGTCAGCAGAACTCGCCTGCACTGCTGTTGTGGCGTTTTGGTGTTCATCTCAGCCCCTCTTTCTGTTACTTGAATGCAGGTGCTGGAAGCTTGTATGAAGAACTGTGGGAGAAGATTTCATAACGAAGTAGGGAAGTTTCGCTTTTTAAACGAGTTAATAAAAGTTGTGTCTCCCAAGGTTAGTCCCTGAGCCTTATGGCCGCCTTTACTTTTTGTTTGGCTGATGCAGAGGTTAAAACAAGAAACTTGGCAACACACCATGGAGTCCTAATCCTCACTCCGCTGCCAACTCACTGTGTAAAGAGTGCCTGGCGAAGCCCCTCAGCATTCATGACCAGTTTAACGTGGCGAGAAATAAGACACAGGCACCCCATGGCACGCTTGATGCAGCACAGTATCCCCAAATTCTTTCCCCTAAGACAGAGGGAGGAGTGGTTATCTGTCTTGCTGCAGTTTTTAAATAGCAAAATCCTGAAACCAACAGAATAGCTGCTTTTTCTCTTGCTGATGGTAATCCCAAAGCTTCTCTGCACTATTCTTTCAAATATATTAGAGGATCATTTTTCCTTTTAAGAAGGAAGGGCCTGTAGTGACAGGACAAGGGGTAACGGGTTTAAATTGAAAGTGGGGAGGTTTAGATGAGATAGCAGTAAGAAATTCTTCCCGGAGAGGGTGGAGAGGCACGGGGACAGGTTGCCCAGAGAAGCTGTGGATGCCCCATCCCTGGAAGGGTTCAAGGCCAGGCTGGATGAGGCTTGGAGCAACCTGGTCTAGTGGAAGGTGTCCCTGCCCATGGCAGGGGGGTTGGAACTAGATGAACTTTAAGGTCCCTTCCCACCCAAACCATTCTATGATTCTATGATGTATCTTAGATAATCATGGATTATACACCTTTTAGCATGTATCACTGATCTTCCATTCTCTGGGTTTGGGCTTTAATTTTTAAAAACATAAAGAATGTGGAGAATTTACATCTTTTTTTCCCCACTGTCAGTACCTGGGAGACCGAGTCTCAGAGAAGGTAAAGACCAAAGTCATTGAATTGCTGTATAGCTGGACAGTGGCATTGCCAGAAGAATCCAAAATCAAGGATGCCTACTACATGCTGAAGCGACAAGGTAGGAAGTCGGATGCTGGTTCACGCGTTCCCTCCAGGCTGTGCCCTAAGCAGGAGTGTCACAAAATGCACAGCTTCTCGTTACAGGGGGTCAGGGCAGGCTCTGAGGGGAGATAGAACAGGGGAGAAATTCCCTGAAAAGCTTCTCTGGAACTAGTTATTAAATGATTTGAACAGGTCTAATTTAAAGTGAAATAAGAGCCTCCATGTAGCCTTTTGTGTTCTTTTAACTAGATCGCTCTACAGTTGTACCTTTCGGTCAGCTGATACCAATTTCTTGTGTAGGCACAGGGCAGAAAGCTCAGCTGAGCAGCACACGAAAAAGTGGTTCCAGGAAAGCTCTTGAGGTAGAGCACAATTCCTTAGAGATTTGACAGTGGAATAAGCAGGGAGCTTAGCTCTTTCAAGTCTGTTCATCACCCCATTTTGCTCTGCTTTCCTGCTCAGCTCATTTATACAGACAAGTGTCACGCACAAAGCTGGGTTGTCTGGGACTTCACTTCGTGGTCCAACAGCTGAAGCCAAGGACAAAGAGTAGAGAGCTGTTGATTATACCGAGCTCTTGGAGGAGCAGTATGGAGGTGGCAGCATGTTTGCTGGGGTTTTGGCCTTAAGAAAACCTCATTTTGCTCTGCTTTCCTGCTCAGCTCATTTATACAGACAAGTGTCACGCACAAAGCTGGGTTGTCTGGGACTTCACTTCGTGGTCCAACAGCTGAAGCCAAGGACAAAGAGTAGAGAGCTGTTGATTATACCGAGCTCTTGGAGGAGCAGTATGGAGGTGGCAGCATGTTTGCTGGGGTTTTGGCCTTAAGAAAACCTTGTCCAGCTAGCGTGCTCAGTGACTTGGGTCCCGTATTGTTCATTAGAACACTGTGCTGGTATCAGTGGACAGACTGACTGCGTGCTCGCGTTGACGGCAGCCTCTGAACGACTGGCTGCACTGCCTGGTGTGACTGCATGCGCAAACCCGCGTGGGTTCCCCTTCTGCTTTCAGGGATCGTTATGTTTGATCCTGTGATTCCTGCAGACAGAACCCTGATTCCTTCTCCACCGCCTCGTCCCAAAAACCCCGTGTTTGATGATGAGGAGAAATCCAAGGTACAGTGAACACTTCTAATCGCCAGTGAAAAGTGATAACTCAATGCACATTTAAAATAAGGAAGTATACTAATTTGGCTTTTATTTTTGGGGTAGTGGTGTGTACTGCTTTGTCCACCTTGCTTGTCCACCTGCCCAACCCGAAGTTCCAGTTAAGGCCTCGTATGTGTTCCCGTTATGAGGTTATTCCTGGTTAATGTGCCATCCTGCCGTAGTACTAGAAGGCAGAGAATGTTTCACACACAGGACCAAAAACCATGTTATGGGAGGAATAATTATCTAGTGTCAGAAGTCCCTGAGATTTCACAGTATGTCCTATGTAGAAGCAAGAATGCAGCAACTCACATAAAATAAATCACTCCTGCTAAACTGTGAAAGCAGTGTAAGCTTTGTAACAGTGGGCTGTACCTCTTTTCCCCTGAATTGTTCTCTTAGATTCCTTTCCCTCCTTCCCAAAGGGTCTTTATTTGTTTCCTGAATATCCTCTTCTCATCTTGCAGCTTCTCGCCAAACTACTGAAAAGCAAAAACCCAGATGATTTACAAGAGGCCAACAAACTTATAAAATCCATGGTAAAAGAGGTAAGAAATCCCTGTAGGATTGGTCCCGCTCAGCAGTCTGCTTTCCAGGTTTTAAGCAATTTGACATCAAAATGATGGAGAGCTTTAGGATCAGGTGGATGGCAGACCTGGGTTTTCCAGGCTCCGGGATCATTCCGTCAGTATGTTCCTTAGTTAAATCCTGGGAGTGAATTAGACTCAGCATCAGCAGCATCCAGGTTTTTACTGCTTTTTAAAACCTCTGACAGTTCTAACTTGCATCTAGTCCCCATGGTTACCGGCGTACGGGGGGTGCCGGCTGATGACTTAGGGCTCCGTGCGAGATGAATGTGTTGTAATTTTGACTCTGGCTCGCAACTGGGAGATGTTTGTGTCACAAAAATGTCGACATCGGTGTCCGTGGACAGGGCAAGAAGGGTCCTTTGTTGTAATTAGCTACATTCTCATCACTCAAGATGGTATTTCATGTCAGGGTTTGGTGGGAGCGTCGCTGTACCACCCCTGGATACTGGGGACTGAGTCATTGGACCGGATCTGCTCGCACGCAGGTTTTATGGGAACACCTTCCTGTTTGCAGACCCAGGATGCATCCGCCCATGGCAGTCAGTAGAAACCCTGGAGTCCCGGAAATGACTCACTGTGTTTCTGGCAAAGAAAAAAAAAAAGGGATAGCTTCTAGACTGCAGAGGATGGATACGTTACTGCAGTGTTTCCATTCCAGCTTTTGCTGTCCCCAGGGCACACTCTCCTACATCTTTAGCTGGAACCTCAAATCAGAGATGGGTGAATGCTTTCTACCACAGAGTGCTTGTTGTTCCTAGTGAATGCTTTGCTTCAAACACATCTTTTTTGTAACATAGCACCAAGTGAGCCCCCAAAAGACAATCTTCTGAAAAGGTCAGAAAGGAACTTTTAGGAACTTTTCTATTTTTAGTGTTATATTTAGACATTAAAGTCTATTTAATCAGACTTTTTGGAAATACAGGGGTTTCTGTCGTTTCATAACGGAGGTGAAAAGATGATAAAATAGACAAAGCTTGACATGACTGGAGAGTTTTGGGTTTGGTATTTTCCTAGCTTAACCTTCAACAGACATTACCTGACACGATTTACAGACAATACCTGCTGTCGCGATACTGTGAGCCTTTACAGGGAAACTCACTTTTGATGTCCGTGTTTTACGCTCCGAAGGACGAGGCTCGGATTCAAAAAGTGACCAAGCGCATGCACACGCTGGAGGAAGTCAATAACAACGTGAAGCTGCTGAACGAGATGCTGGTTCATTACAGCAGAGAGGACTCATCAGAGGCTGACCGGGAGCTCATGAAGGTGGGTCGGAGCTGCTCCTTCTTCCCAGACATCCTGCGGTCAGTCCTTTCCTCTTACAGACTGGAGTTTTGTAGAGAGTTACAAGAAGTGCAGTAAAATGGAGAGCAACGGTGAGAAACAAGAGCAGTTCAAGCAGGATTCTGCTCTTCCTTGGGCTTTATGTATTTCCTGTAATGTGAGGAACGAGCGTCTCTCTTGGGCTAGAGCTGGTCGTAAGTGCTGACGTGAGGGAGCAGTGAGAGATGTTGAAAATGCAGATTGTGTTCAGGCTCCCAGGCTGACATAATGCTCCTCAGCTCTGTTAACAGGGCGGGGACAGGCGCTCTTGGTTGTGCAGCCAGAGGAGCCCGTTCAGCTGAGGGAGGCTGGGGAGTCGTTCTGCTGTTGCTGACCGTGGCTCCTGGCTGATGAAACCTAATCTCTCTTCCTAGGAGCTCTATGAAAGGTGCGAAACCAAAAGACGGACATTATTCAAGCTGGCCAGTGAGACAGAGGATAATGACAGCAGTTTGGGTAAACGAAGCTACGCTTCTCCTGTCTTAATTGCTTTTGTGGCCTGTGCCTGTGCAAGGGGTCAAAAATCGGAAGCGCGAACGCGCTTTGCTTTGAGCAAGCGGATAAAAGACAAGCTCCTTGCCTCTTGGTGCTTATTGTTCCAGTTCAGGCAAGGACTGACAGTAGAGTCGGCACTTAGGGAGGCTGGGGGTGATGATGGGGGGCAGCTGCTGCTTTGGAAGGGGAAGGGAGTTGCTGCAGGGAGCAAAGACTCCGACTCATTTTTTCATTGTTACCGGAATGTGCATGGACCTGGAAATGTCAGGGTGCTGCTTAGAGAGAAGATAGCAAAGACAGAGAGTAATGTGGCTCATAGCCAGGTGGTTACGGGCTTTTTTTCTTGCTGATAATGTAGTTGATAACTGAGTATTCTCAGCACAAGTGGGAAAGGTGGTGCTGAAGTCTTGGAGGTGGTTTTTGTCTCTCTTGCATGTAGGGGATATTCTGCAGGCCAGTGACAATTTATCCCGGGTGATAAACTCCTACAAAAAGATAATAGAGGGGCAAGTCATCAATGGTGAAGTGGATCTCCCTGTGATGCCTGTAGTGGAAGGTGAGTTCCGGGGAAGCCAACTGTTTAATTTTCAAGTCTGCAATTCTGAGTCTTTTGGACGGGGCTTCCCATTAATTGTGGTAAAATAGGCTTATTGATGGTTCTCGTGGCCAGCAGTTTGTGAATCGGGGTGGGGGGGGACGACAAGGCAGCTCGTAAGCAGTGGAGAGACTAGGCTGGACATGAGCAAGAGTGCTGCGTTTTCCACTGTGCATTCCATGGTACTGAAACCTTCGGTAACATCAGTAGCAAACCTGAATCTGGACTGGTTTTGTGGCTGGAAGTTCTCCTACATTTTCCTCTCCGCATTTGTCCTGTTTCTTAACGGTGACGTGTAAGAAGGGTATGATTTTATTAAAAGGACAGTAGTAGGAGAGTGGGAGCCAGGCCAGGGGTCCTGACTCTGCCAGCAATTCCATCTGTGAATTTAGGCCAGTTGCCTCAGTTTCACCATTAAAAGCTCTGGATGTGTGTGTGGCAGATTGACCGTTTGGAAGTCACTTACACATTCCTGCATGGAGAACAGTAGAGGAATATGCATAATCCTGCCTGACAGTGTCCTACTGGGACAAGACTGTCCTAAATACGAGGGAATTCTAGATCCAGGCTGTATTTTCCATAGCTCTCTAGCAGCCTTTGTTTACTGTAATTCTGCAGGATCTCCCAAAGCCTCAGCTGAGCTCACAGGATTTTGGAAAGACTATGAATTATGCTACAGGAAGTGCTGGGTAAAGAGCAGAGGTTGGAGCAGATGTGGCTTTCCAGATAGAAATTTCCAAAGGGTCTGGGTTGATTTCAGTAGCTTGTGGGCAGCAAATGGTCGGGGGGGAAGCACGTGGCCTTTCTCTGTTACGAAGAGCCGTAAGCCATGATCAGATGAGGATCCCTGTTACCTAAACCATCTCCCTGCTGATTTCTCTGTACGTTGGGTTTGCTCTGAGCCTTTTGCCTTCTCTCCTAGTAGCACTCTTCTCCTGTCCGCTGCAGGGAGTAACTCCACGAGTAATCTCAACACCCTCATTGACCTTGCTGGATTGGACGTCACCAGCACCCCGCCACCTCCAGTGCCAGCCCCCACGGTAGCTCCAGCCGAAATCCCCATTCTCCCGCCTCCTCCCCAGACGCTCACGCAGTTGCGGAGCGGTTCCTGTAGCCAAGCGGAAGCCGCAGCCGCTCCGCAAAGCAGCACGGCCAGCTCCCTCTCCTTGCTGGATGAGGAGCTTCTGTGTTTAGGTAAGACACCGAGGGGCCCAGGAAAGGGCTACTCAATCCCTGCCTAACAAAGAGCGTTTTCTTTCTTCAGCGTGAGTGTGAGGGCTGGCTGCGCCCGTGGCGTGCCAAAAAGAAGCATGAGATGCCTTTGGTTTCTAGAAAAGTCCAGGGGACGCTCCCATGCATCTTATTGGATATAAGGCCTGGTCAGTGAGTCAGTGTGAGCAGCTCTGGTCTCCCCAGAGCAGGCCACAAGTGACATGGGTGTAATTGCAGCCTGATCCCTGTGGGTGCTAGGGCGTGCAGGCTGCGGTTTGGTACAGATTTCACCCCGACTCTGTGGCTGTGCTAAAGAGAGAGGTGCCTTAGAGGGGTTGTGTGCAGGAGCCTGCAGAGCCAGGCAGACACAACGGAAGACCCTGCAAATCCGGAAGGGTTAGGAGAGCTGCGTGCAGGGCGTGACTGTGAGCTGCTGGTGCTCTCAGTCTCTTTTCCTTACCATAGACTTGCAGCCCATTTCTGTCTGTCATCAGGTTGTTGGGCTCGGGCAGAACTGAATTGAGTAGTGTGATGGTACCAAAACCGCTGCCAGGGGATGGCACCTAACTCAGTTTCTCCCTCCAGTCACCTACTTGTTATTTTTCCTTTCAGGCCTGAACGACCCAGCTCCTGCCGCCGTGAAGGAGACAGCAGAAAACAGCCAATGGAGCATGTTTGAGGTACAGAGGAGGGTCTGGGGGGATGGGCAGGGAGGGGCTGTCAGAAGGGCTCTTGGGACACACGCTGTCACCTCGGAGAAATGTGAGATCGCACATACAGGCAGAGGGGCTGCTGTTTAGGGGAAGCCTGGCTTAGCCCTAAGATCTGGGCGAGCTGTGTCTGACCAGAGTAGATATCCCCAAAGCTGGCTTTCTCAGTTTCCCATCTGTCCCCCATGATGTTAGCACTTCCTTTGCTTAAATTACAGATCAGATGTAGTCCTGACATAGGCCACAGACTTTGCTGCTTGCCACCCAGCACCTGTTTTTGCGGTAAATCTCTCTCCCTCTGTAACAGTGCCATCTCTGCCACAGGGGGGAGCAGCGAGTTAGAGCATCTACTTGTCCTCTCTTTCAGAATGACCAGTTGGACCTGGATTTCTTTAATCCGAAGATGGTGACTGTTGCTTGCAACCCTGCAGGAAACCCTCTTCTCCATCACGCATCACAGACCACGTGTGGAACGTCAGTGCCCTCTGCTTTCACAGCCTCTCAGACCGCTCCCAGCATCCCAGCACCACACTCCGCACCGTTTGTATTCTCTGCTGGACCGGCCGCCCCTGCAGGGCCTCCTAAGGCTATTCCAGCTGCTCCTGCATACTTCAGCTCACCTGTGGGGAGCAATATGGCACATAAGATGGATGCACTGGGACAACTCCTAGAAGATGCCAAAGGGTAACTACAGCTCCTGGACTTTGCTTTGTCTCCGCAGTTAGGAGCCAGCCTTGCGGCAGCGTCAGATTCAGAGGCAGACTATCACCTCTGTGGGTTGGTACAAGCATGTGATTGGGATTTTCCTTCTCAAAGGGTTTCAGTTTACAAACTGATATGAGGGTCCCGTCTCCAGGATGGAAAGGCAGGCACTGCTAGGTAGAGCACAACAGCTGTGCTGTTCCCTGATACAGATGTGCGGTGTGAGGTTGAACAGGCTGCTGCCTTGACCCGCCTTAGCCTGACCCACCTTTGCCAAGGTGGGACTCTGCTTTCTTCTTGGCTTAGAGAAGTGATGCCTGCGGATCGTGGAGTCTAACCTGGCTCCAGGCCAGCGCTTTGTCCTTGCGATCCGCTGTTATCTCGGAGTTTGTGGTGAAATGCCTGCTTCACTTCCAGCTCAATTTCCCCTGTTTTCTCTGTCTCCCTTCCAGGACTGCCACCCAAGGCATGGCGACAGCCTCAGTGTTCCCTGGGGTTACTCTGCCAGCCCCTGTCATCGCTGCCCCGTTGATAGCACCCACAGGGCTGCCAGCCACTGCCCCTGCAGCCCCTCCAGTTCCTCTCCCAAGCAGCTGCACTGCTGGCTCCGGAAGTCCTCTCTTCCAGCCAGCATCATTCCAGCAGCAAGGCAGCCCCATGAAAGCACCTGAAATTTCTTTGGCCAATGTCCACGTTCCTTTGGAATCCATTAAACCCAGTAAGTATTTCAGGTGTCTCACCTTTCTCTGAACATGCTTTACAAGCAAAGCGTGACAAAGCTTATGAAGTAGAGAGAAAGGATGGGATGTCCCAGCCGAGCAGCCAGATTGCCCAGTGTGGCTGCTGATCCTCTTCCGGAGCATAAACCTGCATTCCTCTTCCCTGCGGCAGGCAGTGCCCTCCCGGTGACAGCCTATGACAAGAACGGCTTCCGGATCCTCCTGCACTTTGCCAGGGAGTGCCCCCCAGGAAGGTCGGATGTGCTCGTGGTGGTCGTCTCGATGCTGAACACGGCACCGCTTCCCGTGAAGAACATCGTGCTGCAGGCTGCTGTGCCGAAGGTAGGGATGCGTGGCTCAGACCCACGTGAAGCCGCGTTCGAGAAGGCCTGGGTGTGAATTCAGGGACATGGGACAGCCTGGTTCTACCCTTCTATAGGCTGTGCTCTGCCCGTTCCCAAACCATAAGGGTGGTTGTCAGGCAGAAGACACTGCATAGGGTAAGTCAGGAACTGCAGGTAGTTAGTGTTCTGTTTTTCTTGCTACCGAAGATCAATCCCACCGTGTCTGTTCATCCCAGTGGCTCAGTAGCACAGTGACAGGACAGTTACATGAATAACATAGAGCCACCCTTGGGATCTTGGTGAATCAAAATTTCTAAAAGACATCCTAAATCTGACAAGATGTTCCCTTCTGGTGTTGCTGCACCTAGATAACTTTGGGTGGCCAGTTTGTGTTTTGAAAAGTGGCCCCGTCTCAGCTGCCATCTGCCTACGACTGTGAGGGCGTTCGCACTGGGACAGGAAAGTGCCGTTGGTGTTCACCTGAGCGGTGCGTGTACCCTGGGCTGACACGTCACTCTGCCTGTTCCTGGCACGCTGTGCGAGCTGGGCTGGCTCCGGGAATGTGGATTGATTTCTCCGTAGCTGGATGTGTGCTGTTCCCTCCCCAGCCTGTCGGTGCATCTTCCTTTGTCCTCAAGGTAGGAGATGATCCCTGAGGCTCCGCTTTTCTTTTTCACTCGCAGTCCATGAAAGTGAAGTTACAGCCGCCCTCTGGCACAGAGCTGTCTCCGTTCAATCCCATCCAGCCGCCTGCTGCCATCACCCAGGTCATGCTTCTGGCAAACCCTGCGAAGGTGAGACAATCCTGTCCTTGTCAGAGGGAGCCGATGGAAGTTCTGCAGGGCGTCGGGGCAGATGCAGCTGTTTATTCCTAACTTGCCATCCAGAGGCAGTCACGGCATTACAGCCTGTCGATTCGGGGCTGGGGGGGCTGCACACAGTCTCTTCCCCAGCGGCAAAGGGTTTGAGGAGGGGCCTGTACATTCCTCCCAGCGAAAGGACAACAGTCAGACAAGGCTCATTTTAAGGGCAGCGACCAGAGCTGTGCCAGGAGCTTGTCTGACTGCCTGGTGCACTCCAAGTGCCCGGCTTTGGTGACAGTTTGATTTATGTTGCATTGGCTGGTGCTGTAGAAATACTTTTGCTGTGTTGAGGCTATAACCTGACAGACCCAAAGCAACAGGCAGATGGCTGTTGCATTATTTCAGGCTGTACCTCCAGCCAGTGACACACCGTGACTAACACTTCCGAGTAGCTGGAGTTCCTTGCTGTAGTTACTCGTTTAAGCAGCCGGCTCCATAAAGCTCAAGGCTGTATGCTGAAGCAGTTTCTGATGGTTTGACAGATGTAGGTGTTACTACTTGGGAATTACAGCAAAAGGGTCTGTGAGGGGTCAGCTCCAAGGTGTGATATCCGAAAGGATAAATGTCAGAGGGTTTGGTGGGTTGTTGAAAAACTTGGTGATGTACATGGTAGGTCCCCTCACGGAAGGATTGCATCCATCTCCTGCTTACTGCTTCACTAGGAATTTTGCAGAGCAGGAACTGTTCTATCTTCCTCCACGTGCTGAGGAATTCAATTTTGAACTTGAACTATTCCAGCAGCGTTCTGCAGGCTCACTGGGGAGCGGCTGGGCGATGGGTGCTGGCCACGTACACGCTATCATCACAGGTCACTCGTGCTTTTCTCCTCCCGTTCCATGCAAAGCAATAAAGCTTCTGTGCTATAAAACCTGGAAGGTCAATAGCTCCAGTTTGCTAACCAGCTGAAGTACTCCCTGAGGTGACCTTGGCCCTGTTCCCCCTGCTATGTGCAACAGAAGTCTCGTGCTCTCTGTAGAGCCGTAAATCCAGGCTCCGTAGAAGCCTTGCGCTCTCTGTGGTGTTTGGCTCAGGAGCTGTTCTCATGTTGCTCTTGGGTTTTGTCCCTCCTGCAGGAGAAAGTGCGGCTGAGATACAGACTGACCTTCACCCTGGGAGACCAGCCCAGCACAGAGGTTGGGGAGGTGGATCAGTTTCCCCCGGTCGAGCAGTGGGGGAACCTATGACCTTAGGACACTGCCAGAGACTGTGACAGGACCAGAGAGGATCCCGCAGGACTGGAATGAATGTGACGTGGCGAGGGACACGCGCGCTATCCACTGGTGACGTTCAGCTTTGTTTACATGTCCTGACCACTCTGCTTGTAGCTTTAGTCCAGAATGTTTTGCCCCACATTGACGGGGTCCTGGGACATTTATGCCAAGCATGAACTGAGTGGCAGCCGGTGAGAGGCAGCGCTGGCTGCTTTTATCTCGACCTCTGGGTGAATCTGGTTCTATCTTCCACTCCATTAAACTTGAAGTTGTATTTTGAGGGCAGAGCTGTCAGCAGGAGGGGATTTGTTGGCTTGTTCCGGTACTGCTGTCCGGAGATACCTACAGGCCGGTGGGGTAATGATGCCACCACGAGCTTCCTCAGTGCAGAGCCCTCACACGTCGCCCTCCTCAGACTCTGACCTCCTCAGCGCCGGCCCGGACCCGCTAAGCATGTCGAGCAATAATGCTGGCTCCGTGAGGGAATGCTTGTTTTTTACACTGAACTGGCACTCAGCTCACCTTCCTTCCCCTTCCCCAGCGGCCAATGTACGCAGACCCTGCTCTGTGCTGTGCCACGCTGCTGTGTCTTTAGCTGTTTATTTATTTTACGCCGCTCGCTGCCACCTCTCGTATCCATCGTGGGCAGCCGGGGCCGAGTTCTGTAGGCACATGGTTACACTGGTTATTTTTCTGTCTCTGTTGCATTCCATAGTGTGGGGAAAAGGGGGCCGGGAAGGAGCGGTCAGTGTTGGTGGAGGACAGCACCTGACGTGCAGTGGTGTCTTCGCAGACACTGATCAGGTGAATCCAAGGGGTAAGGGGAGACGCCTCTCGCGTCCCCTTGCGCAGGGAGTGTTGTTACTGCGGTTGGATACGGCGGTGCATCGAGTACGATGGAACACGAGGTGTAAATAGTCGAGCTGTAGGGTACCGGAGCAGAACAGGCAGGCAGCGACAGGGCAGCAGGCTCCGCGGGGCTGTGACGGTGCACGTCCTGGGTCTGATGCCCGGTTGGATTCATTCCCTGTCTGAAGTGGGTAAGTGCAATTGTCTCCGCAGGGGAAAACAGTTTTGCTGGATGTGGGTGTTGTGTCCTAATGGGGCGGAAGAGCTGACCCCTCTAGCTCCAGTCTCACAGAAACTAGGTTTAAATCACCAAACCCTGATTCCAGCAGTCCTCCCCCTTCTCCCTCTCATTTCCAGTCTCAAGCAGTGCCTCGAGTAGCTTTGGGACACACCATTTCAACATCCATGGGCAGAAGCACAGGCAGGGCGGGTCCCTGGGCACTGAGCTCAGCATTTCTAGCTGCCAAGCGGCGAGTGGGAGCAGGCAGCTCGGATGCCGAGGAAGTCGGTACACGGGGGGGCCCTGCCTGTTACAGGAAGGCTCCAGAGGAGAAGGTGCTGCTGGAATTGAGGGTGGCTGTAAACCCACGACTGCAAATGCAGCCTGGAGATAGCCAGAGTTGAATTTTCTTTACTGGGTTGCAAAATAAAAATCACGAAAGCTGAAAAGCTGAGCGTATCCGAAGGCCTGAGGTCCTTCCTCTTCAGAGGAGGCACCAGGCAGTTGTAGAAGCCCTGAAGGAGGAATCAAAGCTTGGCCAAGGAACTGGCTGGCAACGCTTGATGCAAAGCTCATGAAGACCCCAGCCTGAGCTCCCTGACGTAGAAGGGTGGGCGAGCGGGATGGGCACATTTGGATCCTTAAAGCAGTTTTAAATCCATGGGCTAGGATGACACGGGCACAGAGAGAATTCTTTCTGCCTCAGAGATGTTCTTGCCAGCACTTTAGACACAGTAGGCGTGGGGCTAGTGCCTAGGCTGTGGCAGCGTGTCCCGGGGAAGCAGGTTTTGCTGCTGTGATGCCTCCACGTGCATCTCGCTGTGACCGCAAGGAAGGCAGAAGAGCACACGTGCTTTCTGCAGGATGGCTTCGCGCTCAACGTTAGCGTGCTGCCCGCGCTGTACAGCCGAAGGGAAAGGTGCTGTGGTCTTGCTGCTTGGAAATCGTAGAACGGTTTGGGTGGGAAGGGACCTTAAAGCCCACCCAGTCCCACCCCCTGCCATGGGCAGGGACACCTTCCACTAGACCAGGTTGCTCCAAGCCTCATCCAGCCTGGCCTTGGACGCTCCCAGGGATGAGGCATCTCTCTGGGAGACCTGTATGAAATGCGTTGTTAAAAGCTCTGGAAACTGAACTATGAATGTTCCTTGTCTGTAGGGTGAGGTTGCTGCTTCACCCCCGACAGCCATCGCTGTGTGTACACGTCTCAGACGCGTTTGCTCTGCTGCATGTCCAATAAACTGGTTTCCCTGCTTCGCTCTGCGGCTGAGCGCCCTTACTGGTGACCGCTCCTGCGGTGCGGTGCTGCTTCCGGGCACCCTACAGCTCAGCCCGCTGGCTCCAGGCCATTCAAATGGAGCGAAAACGGGGAAGTTGCTGTTTCTGTAAACCCCAGGGGTTTCACAGGCGGGCTTCAGCTCAGTTCTGGGTGGTGGAGGTGAAGCAACTGAAAAAGCCAAGGTACCGTTGCCGTTGAGGTTTCGTGACGCGGGGAGGGTGGCCAGACCGCGCTGGAACAAGCAACCGTCACGGTTTGAGGCAGCTCCTGACCAGTTACACGTTTTCGGTTGTGTTGATGGGAGACAAGAACCAATCCCCGAGCAATATGCAAAACAAGACATTTATTCTTAGAAAAGCAGTCAGGTTTATGTACAGTGAGCCACGGAGGATGGGTGAAAGCACCTGTCGCTGTCTTCAGGATCCTTCCAACGTGCCTTCTTTGACGATGACCCGTGCAAGATTCCGCGCGAGAGCAAGTCGCAGCATTTCCACCTTCGTAGACTCGACGTCGTCATCCTGAAAGCGAGCAGAGTTTGGGTGAGACTGCCCCACGCAGCACCGAGCCGGTGCTAGGCTCGTTTGCCAAGTTCTGGAAAGCAGGATGCCAGTCATGAAGAATCATAGAATGGTTTGGCTTGGAAGGGACCTTAAAGATCACTTATCTCCCTGTCACAGGGACCTCCTGAGAAGAGCGAACGCTACGTTTCCTACTTTTTAGGCCAAGCCTTTTCCTTTTCCGGCAGCGCAGAGGTTTGCAGGGGTAGCAAACGGCTCCCTGTTTGCGCCCGGAAAATTTCATACCTCGAGCTGTTAGATGGCAGCATCTCAGCTCTTTGTCACCCATGTGATTTGCAGTTACTTATCTTGGAAAGGCATCGCCATCCAGCCCCAAGAGAACAGCGAGGAGCGGGAGCGCTCCGTACTGCTGCACGTACTTCCGTGTCTCACGGTATTTAAGTGTTCCGGGCTCGTCTGGCTGGCCTCTAAACACACCAGCCTCTGTCACGCGGGCTCTGCCTCCTTTCTGCCCCCACGTAGGGACATGAATCTAGAGCTTGCTTTCCCCGACCCTCCCCACAGCTCATTATCCAGTGATCCTCAGGACAGGAGCTACCTGGAGTTTCTGCTTATCCGACTTCCGCACTGTCAGGTCTTCCAGGCACCGCATCAACTCGTAGGTCTGCTCTGCTGAAAATACGACCTGTGGAAATGCAAGTATTTACTGAAATGATCAAGTTTTAAGGACGTCGCAAAATCTGAGAAGATAACTGGGAGGAAGGGAACATGTTCACACTCCCACAGATCCATCCTGACCCTTTAAATCACAGGATGAGAGGATAATCTGTCTGGAGGTGACTCTCGGAGGTCCCTAGTGCCACCTCCTGCGGAAAGATGGGTCAGCTATGACCCAGAGCTGGTCAGAGCTGGTGCTCTGGGCTTTTTCCAGTCAGGATCTGTAATTGCTGGACTGGCATTTTCTTGATGGATCTTAAAGCAAAACCTGGGCTCAGAAGAAGGAGACATTAGAAAAATCCTCAAGCCAAGCACCAGCAGGAACTGGACATGGTGTATATTTAGATCAGCATGTGTGTATTCCACTGCTGTTTCCTAAAATAAGGGAACCAGGCTGAGAGTTGACTATCCGTGTGGTCCCCCTGCTAGGACACCCGGAGCCGGGCAATTCCAGAACGGTCACACACACGTCTTTCGGCAGGAAGCACAAGAGCCTGGGGGCCCAGAGGGGGCTGCTGCTTGAGACCCCTTGTCAGAAAGGAAAGAAAGGGGGTGTGGGGCTTTGCGGGGCGTGAGCAGCGTGCTCACCTCCTTCTGCTCCAGGAGGGGAAGGGCGTCCATCAGCAGGGTCATCCAGAAGGAGCACGGAGCGATGTGAGCCGTCATCAGCATCAGGAGCAGCTTGGCAGCTTCGGAGAACCGCTTCTCCCCGTAGAGCCGGTGGAATTCTCGGTACTTGCCTACACGGGGAGGAGTTGGTGAAGGGTTAAGGATGTCACAGTCTGTCAGCCTGGCTTTAGGGGGGGCCTCCATGAAGCCTGTGGTAGAACTGCCCCCACCTGAGATGAGTCTCCAAAGCAGCTGAGTCTGGGGGATTGGGAATCTCGGGCAGGAAGATAGGTTAAAATAGAAGGTGGCTGTAAAGGTAACCCAAAAGCTGTTCCTGTTCTCGGTCAGGTTTTCTGTTGGAGCCAGGCTGTTCACTAACTGACAGTCTGGTGTGGAGTGTTTGCATGGTGAGCGCCTCCCCTCCTGTTCTTGGGTTCTGCAGATGTCGTCCCTCTAAGGAAGGGACCTTAAAGCCCACCCAGTCCCACCCCCTGCCACGGGCAGGGACACCTTCCACTAGACCAGGTTGTTCCAAGCCTCATCCAGCCTGGCCTTGGACACTTCCAGGGATGGGGCATCCACAGCTTCTCTGGGCAACCTGTCCCAGTGCCTCCCCACCCTCTCCGGGAAGACAGGCAGGATTACCAATTTGGTAAGTCACAATTAGCTTCTCGGCTTAATTTAGGATAAGCTTTAAATGAAGGAAATACAGTTCCAGTTTTACAAGCCTGGACTAAATGGGAGCAGATCCAATTCAGGATCACCCTCACTGTGATGCTGGTGTCAGCCAGAAGGGAGTCAGCCAACAGCTATTCCAACTCCTACTGGATTTTGGCCCCAGGAGAGGGGATTGCTAACTGCCACAGCTCCAGAGAAAGGTGCATTTGAGCTCTATTTCCTGTCCTGGTCCATTAATCAAAGGGTGCGGAGCAGCAGCAGCCAGATGGGCAGGTCAGCACAGCCACCAGAAGGAAGCTGTGGCATGCGAAGGAAACCAGCTGGGGCCCTCGGCTGCGATTTGGCACAACTGCTGTAGTGAAAGGGTAGGAGAGATCCTGTGTTAGGCTGAGCCTGAAACTGGCACGCTGAGCCAACAAAAGGTGTGGAGATTCTGGAGAGCTTGAAGAGGTTAGTAACGTTATCGCACTGTCAGCATAACTGAAACCAGTGGTTTACTCTTCTAAGGAAGCCCCCTAAGGTCTTCCAGATGCGTTTGCCAATATTTCCAAGTCTCTAGGTAGTGATGCAGTCTGGAAAAAGGCCAAGAAAGAGGAAGCCTACGAGGGTTGGAATCCAAGACTACCCCGCTCAAAGCAGTGTGGAACAGACGCCTACTGCGAGTGCAATTGGAAATGCAGTCTCCTGCTAGCAAGCTGGCTGCAGCCCGCGTTGCCTTCGGTCGCTTGCTTTCCCCTCATCATTAACCAGGATGTGGCCAAATGGAGGAAAGGACAAATCCAACTAATTCCGTGGAGTTAACTGTGCTCTAAATAACAGACCAGGATGAAAGAGGTAGGCTCTTCTTACCAAGAAATGTTAGCCGGTCACTCAGCAGCATGGACGGCCCCAAATTATCGATGAGGTCTAAGTCAGAGAAGCATCCCCTTTCACAATAGTCCTTCAGGAATCTGGGGATAAAGTAAACCACAGAAACAACTCAGTGGGGGAACATCGTCCACGTTCACTGTGCATTTCCCAATCCCTCCCCAGAAAGCTTCACTGTACAACTCGGCTCCACCTTAATCAGCCTCCCGTGAGGGTTTCGGAAGACATCAGAACGTTTCCCAGGAGTGGCCAATGAACCGGTGTCGCGTGCGTTTAGCAGACGCTCTTTATTCTGCTGGGTTCTGTGGTAGCTCTGTTCTTTAGAAAGAGCAAGTGAAGGAAGGAGCACAGGAAGCTGAGGCTGGTGGATGCATAAATAACACTCCCAGATCACAACAAAAGCTCTATTTTTCTGCTGTGTAAAAAAGTTGATAAGCAGCAGGAAGAAAAACAATTCTAAAAGCTTTTCATCTGTTTTGTCAGCGCCTTCGTTACGCTCCTTCCCGCGCCGTGTTTCACCTTCTGTTGAAACACAATGATCCCCACTCCCTCAAAGAACAAGTGAAATAAAAACCAAGAATCAACCAAACAGCAATCTCTTCCTACTCCCTTTTTTTCACTGCTGCAGACAGAACATTGCCTGGCTGCTGACCCAGAGCGTCACTTCGAAATGATACTCAAACTATGCAAAGAGATCGGTACCTGCCCATTTCCATTCAGCTGAAATATCAGCACATGGATTGCTAGAGATTAAAAAGCATAAAGAGAGTTTATACATCGTTTTGTCTAGAATCACAGACTGGGTTGTGTTGGAAGGGCCCTTAAAGCCCCCCCAGTCCCCCCCCCTGCCATGGGCAGGGACACCTTCCACTAGACCAGGTTGCTCCAAGCCTCATCCAGCCTGGCCTTGGACGCTCCCAGGGATGGGGCATCCACAGCTTCTCTGGGCAACCTGTCCCAGTGCCTCCCCCCCCTCTCCATGAAGAACTTCTTCCTGATACCAAATCTAAACCTCCCCACTTTCAATTTAAACCCATTACCCCTTGTCCTGTCACTACAGGCCCTTGTAAAAAGTCCCCCCCAGCTTCCTTGTAGCCCCTTCAGGTACTGGAAGGTGCTATAAGGTCTCCCCAGAGCCTTCTCTTCTCCAGGCTGAACAAGCCCAACTCTCTCACCCTTTCTTCATAGGTCTAGGCCTAAGCTAAGTGTTAGCATCCTCTTCAATTTTACAACCACCTTCCCACCCCTGCAAGGCCAGATGTTGCCGCAAGTTTGTCCAAAACCAGGGGGCAGGATAAAATTTTACTCCGTTACATTTGTTGTAACTGTGGCTTGAGATTTTTTGCAGAACTGGTGGCTTAAGTGACTCCCGCTGAGTTGTCTGCAGACTGCATGGGGAACTGGACTGGTTAAAAATACTCTGCTGAAGAAGGCACAGAAGGGGATTATCCTCCCCCGAATCAGCTCCCTGGTTTGCTGTATGGTCCATCAGAGAGCCGCGTGGGAGCAGGTGAAAGGGCTGTGCATGAGGCAGAGCTATTGCAAAAGAAATGTCAAAGCGAGGTCTTGGAGGACTGGGCTGTTGGACAAAGCCAATCTGTGTCATCTCTGATTTCATGAAGTAGAAGACTGCAGAAAAGCAACAGCCGGGGTATCGCAGAGGGAAGTACCCACGGACACCGTTCTCTAGTCCAAAAGGTCTGAGGGAAAGACAACCCCCTTCTGCCTGCAGCAGGATCTTTCTGGTCTGTGGCAGGATGACTGCCGTCTCCCATCCCTGCCACCCCCATACAGCAGCACCGGGAGCTTCTGCCTCACACTCACCGATCCGATATCAGCGTGGCAAAAGCCGCATCCTTAGCCCTGATGCTCCACGACAGGGCAGAGCCCAAGCGATTGTTCCGCAGAGCTTTCATGGCCATGATTTTACAGATGCTACGAACTTGGGAGAAAACAGAAGAGAAGAGGGCAAGAATTAGTTTTAGTAGTTTCACTTGTGCTTCTTAAATCTCATTGTTTTCTAGTGACAATCACCTTGTTCATGCATCTGTCTCTGCTCACAGATCCTCAGCACTTTGAGGGCCTTCTGTTCTGTGTTCAGGGGTATCCGTTCAATATGGAGCTCCAGATACACCCTGCCGTATTCGGGACAGTGGTCAAAGTAATCCACCCCCAGCTGCCACAGGCTGGAGAGGGAAAAAACATCATCAAGCGTTCCAATCATATAAATCTTGAATAAGCACAACAGTAAAGCCACAAGGAGAGCTTGAGTCTGCATTAATAACAGCTCTGATTAACTCAGTATTCGGATCTAAAATGGCTTTTGCCTTCTACCACACCCCAGCTGCCTGTCACACAGCTCTGGAATACCTGCACCCCACAAGCGCTTTGCTGCAAGGGGCTCAGCACCCAAAAAGCCGCAGTGACAGGACCAATTTTGTCCGGGTCGATAGGGCTGGTGGGTTCCAATGGTCTTTGATTTGGGAAAGGCAACACACCAGCGTTGTGTGATCCCTTAAGGACACCTCTGCTGAAACCCTAACGGGCTGCTCTAAGTTCTGCCTTGTTACTTCACTAACGTGTAGTTACTTGTGGCTACCCCAGCGTTAGTCTGTCCTGGGAGTAAAAAACCAGTAGGTACCTGTGATGGGAGAAGAGTCCTGAGGCATACTCCAGCAGAAGGAATTCACGCATATTTGAACCAAAACTGGGGGTAAAGAGAGAAAAGGAACAGGCATTATTAATTATTATTATTACCATTATTATTTGCACTTCATTGGCAAAAACAGCTGACTTCCCTTCACAAGTACTTTTAATTTATGCAGCACCTTTTCTCATGGGCTGTCTTAACGAGCTTCGTACCTCAGGCCTAAGCCTGCAGGTCAGCTTTCTGCCTGGGGAGACCTGCCAAATACTTACATCACTTGGCAAATCTAACGTAAGAGGAAGTGCTTTACGAACCTCAAACTTCAGGGAAATTCAGATAGCAAAATTCAACGGCTCAAACTTAATGGGAAGGCTTTTTAGATGAGTTTCTCACCGTTCCTAATAATCACAAATATTTGGGCCCTTGATTATATTTCAGATAAAATTATATTTCAGACAAAAATGCAACACTGCAGTGAGGCTGTGTTAAACAGCATGTCCAAGCCATCGGGTCAGCAAATGCTGCTGCTTCTCAGAGCATCTGGGTTGCCTGTAACTTCAGAGGCACACACAGCAGCTTTATTCTCCATCTTCTGTAAATGCTGAAAACACTCCTTTTCAATGAAAATCAGTGCAAACAACTACTTACTAGAGGTTGTGAGATTGCAGGAGTTTGCAGTGATCCAGGAGGTCAGTCAGATGAGCCACAAACCACCAGTTGCTCAGGGCAATGCTGTATTTGAAGCAAGGAAAGGAAAGAAAACACTAAGCCTCCCACTGACAAGGAATGTGCCAGGTTTTCCACGGGCATTTCTGACCGATACAGCAGCTGTACTGCAGCAAAATGCCTGGCTGCAACGTCCCAGGCCTAATGGAACACTTTTACTTGCTGCCTGCTTCCCACATTCTTGGAAAGGCTGATTGGGGGGGCTGTACCCACATCCTCCACCCCAAACACTACTGGAGCGAATGCACACTGAAGGCACGCTGTACAACCGGAGAATCAAACCCATAAAACTCAACCTGCATTCCTTGATCACTTGATGCATCTCAAATTCAAAGGCCGCCATTAAAATTGTGTCCAGAGGCTCAGGGCTGCTTTCTCCACCCAGGAACAGGTCCAAACTAGACTGTGGAATATGACAAGAAGACACAATACATGCAGTTGAGAGAGAGATGGTTACAGGCAGAGAGTTGTTGGGATGTAGCAGCCTCGCTTAGGTTATTTTGTAGGAAAGAATGTGTCACAGGGACTGAACGTGTTAACAGAAAGGATGCAATATTCCAGCACAAGGAAACTGGGAAAACAATGTGCAGGAACAAGAGTGGTAACATTAGACACGGAAGAGACTTGGTCTTCAATAATTATGTGTCCACTGCATCCGTCTCCCAGTCCACTTGCAGGTTCTAGGAACGTCTCACAGGTAGGTAGCTGCTGCAAGGTGTCGACCCTGCCCAGGTACAGTAACCCCTGCGTGCCCGAGATGCTGGGGATATCAATCATTCTATTTCAGACCTGCGCGTAAAACTGCAGCTCCGTTGGCTTCACAGTCGGATGGGAATACAGGAGTCGGGTAACCAGGAAGTGGTACCAAGTAGTCATGAGTTCCTTTTTCTGCAGTATGGCATCTTCATCTCCCAGCAGGATCTACCAGGAGAAAAACATGGGAGTAACTCTGCCAATTCAGCAATGTATGCAGCCGCAGTGTAACTCTTCAGAGGCATGACTCGAGAGTTTAATCAAAATGAAGTAACAAAGGGCAAAGATCCTTCTCAGAGCCGCTTCCTAATCAGCCTTATGGCCTTGGACACAAGGAAAACGACCTGCCCAGGCTTGCAAAGACACAGCATAGAAATCTCCCAGTTTAATACGCTGGATGATCTGTTTATTAAAGTTACTTATGGCAACCCAGGGCTCTGGAAATACACAAGGATGGATCCAGTACATATTCAGTTTTCCACGTTCCAAGCAGAAACACACCTTGCAGATGGATTCCATGTGGGGATTGGCAGCAAAAGTTCCATCCTGTAGGTACCGCTGGCATTCTTCATGCCAGTGCTGCCATTTCAGCTCCATCTCGGTCAGCATCTGGGTGTTGCTAAGCTGAACAAAGCCAAGATACATAAAATAAAGACCAGGTCAAACCACAACAGGCACTTGGGCTGAACTCTGTCATTCACGATGGAAAGCTAAACTCGGGGCTGCCATCAAATTTTTCCTTGTCCTACAGTTGCATCTGAAGTGTCTTCCTTTATCCATCTAAAGAAGGCAAAGGAGAGCCTAGGGGAGGTTACTGTGATGCAGCTGCAATTTCCCCCCTGCAAGGAGATCACTGCAACAGAGGAAAGCTGCTGGAAAAGTCTTCAGAGCATGTTCTGTACATGAGAGCAGTTCTCAGCAGAAACTGTTCAGACAGCTGGATAGTGTATCCTGCTGCAAAACATCTCTTTCTACCTGTGTCGGTTTGTCCCCTAGCCGGCTGCTGTCTGAACGGTTGGGCCATTCCAGAACACAAACCCTGAAGGATTAAGACTGAGATGCTTTACTGGTGAGCAAATTGCAATGTTACAGGAGCCACAGAGGTGGCTCTTTTCCCAATGGAACTGCATGAAAAAAACCCTCTTTGTACCTACACTGTGCACAGGCATCTTTTTCATCAAGTCATCCAAGATTTTGTACATGTTCAGGGACGTGGGATTGGCAGTGGCTTCCTTGGAGAGCAAATGCCGTGCTTCATCCATTCGGCCTTGCAGTACGAAGACATCCACCTGCAAAAACCACCTGCCTGTGAGCACCACGCTGCGCAAGGCTACAGATACCCAGGAAGGGTATCAGAGGGGAACTGGAAATTGTGATCTGGACAAGCTATGTGGAGTTAGAATGCTTAAACGGTAGGCTAAGTCTGGACCTCTTAAAGTGAAAGGATCAGGATGGGAATGAGGGGCAGGATGGTCATCAGACCGGCTTCATCTTAAAACCTGCACAGGTGGGGAGCAGCAGTGTCCTAGGGATGGGTTTCTCAGATGCAGTCTAGTGTCCACTGGGGAGGAGGAAGGCCAAACACGCAGGCGTGAATTCTCTTTAAGAGTCTCAGAGGTGACTATACTCACCACATTCCAGAAAAGCTTGTGCTTCGTTGGATTTTCACTGCTCAGAACTTCACGGACCATGTTGTCCACATCACAGACATGAAGTCGAACCCAGTCAAGGAGGCGAAGCAGAAGGGGACCAGCTTTACGCAGAGAAGTAGTAATTATTCTTTCAGTTCCCAACTCTCTGTTCCCAAACTGTTATTTTACATGCTTCTAACTTCAACAGTTTGACAGTCATTCGATGAGGGTTGCTAATTGGGTTTCTATCTGCCACACTCAAATGAAAAAGGAACAGAGATCCTCAGGTAGCGAGGCTGTGGGAGCACCAGGCTGCAGACAGATTTCAGGGTGGCGATTTTAGACAGAACCACAGCAGAGACTGGCAGAAAACCCTAACCAGTTACTTGAAGAAATAAAAGGTGAGTGATTCAGATCATCAATCTCGCAATATCAAAAGACACACAGAATGTTTCTGTTTAATTTAGAAACATGTCATTATCATTAAGTGAATATGAGGAGGAGATCTGGCATTAAGTTATTGACTTTTCTTGAGATTAAGTAATCTATAATTTGTGAATCTCTCCTCTGAACTCTGGGACTGTGCAAGTGACATATTTGTCTGTATAAGCTGATGTCCTTAAAAAGGTATTTACTTCTTTAAAATGCTGGTGTAAACAAACTGACTTCAAAAGTGGTTCAAGGAGTTGCAGCAGAGAATGTGTAAATGTTAGTTGGCATCAACATTTGATGCTTAAAGATGTGTTTATGCTTCAAAGTCAAATAAATTGGCAACCACTTTTGATATCCCTCTTCTTTACTACCTTTCTGTAAAAAAGACAGTTGCAGTGTACTACACGCGGGGAGAAGAAGTTGAAGGCAAATATAATAGCCTGACACAATCCAGTATGAAAGCAGCAATTTCCTGAGGTAGAAGAGGCACTAAAAGCTTTACTGACACTTGTCCTGTCTCTAAAACATATTAAGATATGACACAATGGATGGCTACACACATTTTAAATAAATAAGCAAAAAAAACCCCTTCAGTCTGAACATCAGGGTATTTCACTGCTCACCTGCAACTGCTTCAACAAACAGAATCTCACACAGGTTCCAGATCAGCTCCATTGCAGAGAGAATAGAAACCTGAAAAAAGCAGGGCCATGACTCAGATGTAGCAGTTATTCCAGTCAGGGTTTTTTTTAAACCATACAAAGGTGTCTGCTGTCCATAGCAATTGGTCAGTTGGGGTCAGCTCCTGCAGAGAAATGTCATACTGACATTTCAGAGACACAAATGAACAAAGAGAATCAGGCCTCAACTTGCCTACAAACATCCAGCTCAGAAAATATCAGAGCTGTGCATTGAAATGCAATGATCATCTGTCACCAGTGGGAAATACACAACAGGACAGAAAGTGTTATTTTCAGCCTTTTTGCACTCCTGAGACTTAACGTTACAGAGAGCAAAGTAAGGAAAGGCCAATTAAAGGACAAAAACTGAGCATTCTGCTCTTCCCGTAACACTCTTGTAGGGTCTGACAGTTCATCCAGAGCTGGCTACAAGGCTCAGACGCAGTTTGTTGGAACCTGGGTATTTGAGAAGTGAAGCTTCAGGCATGAGTACTGGCCCACAGCTGGCTTTAAGGTAATAATAAAACATCACACCTGAATATATGTTCAAGAAATGGCAGTGAATCCAAACATTGGGCATCTTATTGTTTTAGAAATAACAGCTAACTATCTATTCCCATCTATTCTTGGTTACGAACTGCACCCAATGTACTAAGCCAGAGTTAAATCTAAACTGCCTTACTGCCACGGTGTTGGCCTTGGTGAATTTACTAGCCAGTGATTCATCTTGAGTCGTGAGTACATGACAGGACTGCAGATTACCTGAGTACTGTACTGGCTCTGCAGGGCTGGGTCCTGGGTTGAGACTGAAGGAAGAATAAGGAAAGTCAGCGTACAACATATTTACCTTCTTTCAAGCCCTTTCTGGACTCATAAATACATACAACAAACAATACCTGATCACTCATCAAGCACAGACCTAGATGAGTATACACATGACAAAATTTGATACAAAAGTTAGCTTTGCCACTTTTTGAAATAAACGCTGAAATAAATAATACACATCTGAGTATGGCTACAGGGCAGGGATGGAAGAGTAAAATCTCTCACTTTGGGATGGGGAGGGTGCGGAAGCAGACTGTTAATTTGGACTCAGTTTCCCATAAAACTGTAACACAAGATATGAAAATATTTCAAGTCCCCAGAAAA